AATTAAGTAGTATCATACAACTGCAATTGCTTCCATGTGCAAACACTTTATTTTAGAGCAAACCCTCCATTTCAATACAATGACAATGATTATGGTTCAAAGTTTGAAGTCAATTTTAATAAGATGCCGGAACAACCATGGTTGAAATGAATAGATTACTAAATGTCAAGGATTTGATAATGATGCGGGAGCATAGAGCTCTTTTTAATGATTAGTATTAGGGTTGTTCGTTTTGCATTAAGTTTGAGTTTTATTTGGAGTCTAAGTTCTAATTTTAGAACAGTCATGTGAATAGTATGTGACTTTTAATTAGGATTAGAATTAGTAATTTATTAGAAATTCAAATTAAAATTGAATTAGGATTCTTAACTATTTTTTGGTATTAACCTCCTGATATTCGAAAATTACGCTGGGTTTCGACTAATCTAGAATTAAACTATGTCAGATCCCATAAGGGTCGAAGCTCTCTCAACGTCTGTTTTTCTATTTACAAAACTCAAACTTGAAACTTTTCTTGAGGTGAACCGAATTCCTTCTACTCGAATCATCATATCATTGGTATAAATAGGTATTCTTCTTCTTGGATTTCAAAAGCAGTTTTTGTTATAAGATTTTAGTTTGAGAATAAACTTGAGGTTGAAAACCTAAGTTTTCTTGGTTCCATCTTTAATTTTACGGAGTTCCTAGTTTTTGTTTGTTCTACCCCTAGGGATGGCAATTTGTTTTGATCCCCGCAGGGCCCTCGCCACTGGGACGCAGCAAGGAGGAATATTCCTCCCCGTGGAGCGAGGATGGGGGGCATTTTCTCCCCATGAAATTTCCCCCCCTCCCCGTGGAGCCCCGTGGGGTTCTCCATCCCCGCAAAAACTACAAAAATATGTAAATTAATTTTATTTTAAATTTAATTCAATCTTCAAACCCAAATCTAATCCTATAAAAATTAAATTTAATCTAATTTTACCCAACCCAACCCATAAAAATTAACCCAACCCATCATCAACAAGTTTGTTGATTTA